CCAGGATTTTGGTTTTGTGAAGCAGAAACAGAAATTGTCTAAATGATTCCAGAATATTTGATTTGATTTTTTAATATATGGAAAAGAATAGTGAAAAGTATTTTTTTTCTTTTTTTTGAGTACTATTGTATTCGGGATGCTTTACATATTACTCTAATAATGTAAAACTTTTATTGACTGCACTTGATCTGATTTCTGCAAAACGTGTGAATAAAGATGAAAAAAGTCAACAGCTCACCATAAGAAACTGACCAACATCACCAGCAGTCCAACCACAGCTTTCATGTCTCCTCTCTGTTAAGTGTTTGTGACCCAGTCAACAGCTGCCTGCAGTCCGTCCTGTCAGAGATCAGTGTCATCAGTGAATTCATAAAAACTTGACTAATAAGAGCATCATTATATTAATCTTGTTTTTCTGAGTAATAGGCTTCTATAGCAGTGTCGTACTTTGACACAGGATAAAGAAATTGCTGCTTCACTGAGTGAATGGGTTAAATGCAGAGAGGAATTTCCCCACGGGGATCAATAAAGTATATGTTATTATTATTAATATTACATTATTATTCATTATTATTAAATTTTACAATAGAAAAATGATGGTATTTACAGATGTATCCAGAAATGTGTATTTGTGTGTTGGAAATAGAAATCGGAAATACATGCAGCAATTTGTTAAAATGTGCAAACAAATGTTGTGATACCATATTTGAGAGATGTTTTTATTTATGCCACCAGATGGCACTGTCTCTCTTGAAATGCCCCTAGTCAGGGAAGGAGATAGTGGATAGCTTGTATTGATCCAACATTAACAGTACTGCTGTTCAGTATGTAACATTTTCTTATCAATTGAATTACTAAGTAAATACAATTTAGAAATGTTGATTAGTGTAAAGTTTCTAGTGTTGTATGAATTGTTCTGTATGAATTGAACTGAAACCCCGGCATCATTTTACCGTTGTCACAATGTTATATCACGAAAACTAGTTTATTCTAGTCAAACTATGATGTATGTATGATGTTTTTCACAGACTGAAGAACAACAATCAATGCAGGAATGGACATGTATACATTTATTTTGTATGAGAGCAGTTCACATACAGGCCTTCATAAGAAGCAATGACTAACTCTATTTAATCTGTCAAAGGGCTTATTACAAATTTTTGCTATAAGTAATATTGTTACAGCTGCAGTCAAATAATCAATTAATAAATAAGTAAAGTTAATATTTACCCGACAAATGAAGCATCTTTATTTAATTTCTTCCCCTTCAGTTTTCTGTACATGTAAATACGACCTTTCAGTGTTCAATTCAATTTTATTTATGAAGTGCCAACAACAGACAACTAAAAGAGCTTTACAT